TCTTTTTTTTTCTCTCTTTTTTTTTCTCTCTCTCTTTTTTGTAAGCCACCCGGAGTCCTTCGGGATTGGGCGGCGTATAAATTTTATAAATAAATAAATAAATGGGTATTGTAATAGATCATGACTGTCACCGTGGGGGGGCGGGGGGGGTTGTATATTTAAAGTTGTATTTGCATTTGTATGTCTTATTCTTAAAAAAAATGTATAACCAATAAAGATTATTTAAAAGAAAAAAAAGGGTTCGCCAATAAAGGTTAGGAAAGGAGGAAAATGAAAAAGAGAGATATTGGTAGAAAATGAAATATGTGGATATTGCTGATGACAAATAGTTAAATAGAATATTATTGTTAAGTGTGGATAACCAAGATAGCGAAATGCTTGTTATATTAAAATGAAATTTGATGATAAATGCTACATACAAAAACTAGAAATAACAGCTGGAAAATGAAATGATAAAGATGATATATTATTTACGGAAGGGCGGAAAAACAATTACTATATTTTTCAGAGTATAAGATGCACTGGAGTATAAGACGCATCAAGGTTTTGAAGAGGCAAATAAAATAAAAGTTTGTGCACTCCGCAGACATCCCAAAAATGGCACGTTTTTCACGAAAATGGGCCTGTTTTTTTTTTAAAGGGCTTGAATAGCCTATAGGAGGCTTGCAGAGTGCTCCTGTGGTGTGGAGGTCCCAAGATCGAGCAAAAAATGGCCCATTTTTCGCAAAAACGGGCCCGTTTTTTTTTTTAAGGGCTTGAATAGCCTATCGGAGCCTTGCAGAGTGCTCCTGGGATATGGGGTACCCAAAATCGAGCAAAAAAAGGCCCATTTTTCGCAAAAACTGGCCCGTTTTTTTGTCAAAAAAAGGGCATGCAGCCTCTTTTTTTGAGGGAAAAAGGTGTGTCTTATACTCCGAAAAATACGATATGTTTATTTGTTAAGAAAAATTAAAATATAAGATGGTAATTTGAAAAGGGAATGTGGGTCCGAAATTAGAAATGATGAGATGTAAAATTAATTATGTATAAGAGAAAACTCTGAAAAGAGGCTTTGAAGTTTGCAACAAAAAAATAAATAAAAAAGTATGGGGGGAAAAAAACTGCAGTGATTCACCTAACAATGGTGGCAAGAAAGGTCATAAAACGGGGAAAACTGCCTCGCTTAGTAACAGAAATTTTGGACTCAGCTGTGGTTGTAAGTCAAGGACTATCTGTGGACCAGTCCAGTTCAGCTTGTAATGGGATCCAATTTCACAATCTGAACAGATTCTTTCAATACTTTTTGAAACTCCTCCTTCTACTTAGCAGCTGCTATCTCCTCCTGGTAACCTACTCCAGGAGTAACTTCACTCCTCCCCTCTTTACCTGCTTGTAAGTGTTGGCAGTCATATCTGCACACAGGTTCACCAGTCCAGAAGAATCTACGAACACCACTTGAAACGCCTGGTGGAACTCCGTCAGGGAAGGCTAAGAGGAAAATCAAATTGCAAAGATTGTAAACAGAGGGAGAGAATCAAGATCACGTGAAGTGTTGATACCACTTTATAATGCCCTGGTAAGGCCACACTTGGAATTCTGCATTCAGTTTTGGTCACCACGATGTAGAAAAGATGTGG